GACAGGAGACCATCTGCCTCGACCGGCTGGGTTTGGAGGGAAGAGACACAGACAAACACAGAAGAACTGGTCCAGGACTGGTCCAGGTGCACCTTCTTCTGGAAGAGACAAAGAAAAAACATGATAGAAATAATAACAATAAACATGTAGAGAAGAGAGACTAAAGACAACAGCAGAGTGAGGAAATGTGCTCAGTTTGTGCTCCAGTTCAGCTGTGAACAGAAATGTAAAGGGCTCTCTAAAGGGCTTTTGTTTTTGCACATACTTTCATAGAGTCTGAGACACACAGAACAGAGCTCCTGCAGGGAAACTTGCTGCAGTATACATCACAGCATGTGTTTCTTCTCCTGCTGGAGTCTCTACTCCTTTCTTGAAGACTGTCTTCTCCATGCAAAATGTCTATCTGATATCTGTATCCAAGGGACTTTAGTCAATTGATTTGTTGTAAGTGTGCCTGGAAGAGTCATAAATCGTGTTTCCATCCAGTTGTAGAGGGAATTTTTATCGAACTTTTCAAAATTCGCAAAAAATCAAATAAATAAAAATTCGAATCTAGACTGTTTCCATCTAGTTTCCCTCTCGACTGTTTGATGCGAAAAAATGAGGCTACGCAACGCGTGATTACATCAGACGAGGCTACGCAACGCGTGATTACGTCAGACGAGGCTACGCAACGTGATTACGTCAGACATCGGCGACGAGCTTTGCGGTAGTAAACAGGAAGTGAAACTTGCTGTCTAGCAGAGGCTAATCATCTCGGGATAATGGAGAGATTTTTTTCGTGAATGCCTTGCTATCGGGCAAGTTGTAATTATTCTATCTATTCAGCTAGTATGTTTAATGCTGCCAGGAGACGTAGGGAAATAAACGCAATGTTAAACTACGTTTATGATGACATCCGGGACGAGGCAGGAAAGCGGAAACAGCTGAACGTCACTTGAGGTAAATATGCGATACGTCAGAATTTATTCAGCAAACGTGTTTCCACCTCCCTTTTCGCGCATTAACTACTTTGCGACTCATCCAAAAACCACCTCAAACGAGCGTAAAAACTTTTTAGCAAATTGAGGATTTTTTTTTTCTCGAATTTTGCTGTTTCCATCCGACTTTTTTTTTTTCGCATTTTTAATGTGACACTTCTAAATGCGCATCAAAAAGCCTTGATGGAAACACGGTTAGTGATGGATACACTTTCTGCTTTCCTTGGTCAGCTCAATCCATCCATCAATCTATTTTCTTCCCCTTATCCGGGTTCAGGTCGCGGGGCAAGCTTCCCTCTCATCCCTCATGCTGGCTGCTTCACACTCTGCTGTGAACCGCTCCAGTGATAGCTGGAGATCATGATCTGATGAAGCCAATAGGACCACATTATCTGCAAAAAGCAGAGAAATGATCCTCGGCCACTTAAACAGATCCCCTCAACACCTCGGCTGCTCCTAGAAATTCTGTCCATAAAAGTTATGAACAGAATCTGTGACAAAGGGCAACCTTGGCGGAATCCAACTCTCCCTGAAAACGAGCCCAACCTACTACTGGCAATGTGGACCAAACTCTGACACTGGTTGTACAGGGACCTAACAACCTGTATGTATCAAAGGGCCTGGTACCCCATACTCCTGAAGTACTCCCCACAGGACTCCAGAAGGCACCTCTCAGCATTGGCAACTCCAGAGTGATTGAAAGACTGTCCAACCCCTCATGAGAAGCCAGAGTGGTGTGTCGAGGTGAGTCCAACTATATCTAGTGGGAGCCTCTCAACCTCACACACCAGCTCAGGCTCCTTCCCCACCAGAGGGGTAACATTCCACGTAGGGCTGGTTGATATGAGGAAAATCTTATATCCCGATATATTTTTGGCTATATCGCGATACACAATATATATCACTATACCTCCAAAACACAAGTTTTTTGTAAATGGAATTATTGGCTCTAGATCTAAACTCAAAAAATAAATGGACCATAGCAGTAAAAACGTACATCAAGCAAAAGGGAAAAATAAACCATTGAAACTTAAAAAGGTGCTCTTGTGCTTTTACCATAAAAAATGTAAAATCAAAAAATGCGTTGTCTTTAAAATACTGTACAAAAACAAAAGTATAAAAAGTGGCGATAAAGTTGACTGACCCAGAACGGGATGTTTTGCAAATTACCGCATTTTGTTTGACGTCCTCTTTATGAAATCCAAACCACAGCCAGGTTATTGATCCAATGTTGTTTCTCTTCAGAACTAATTTATCTGAGTTGTCTTCAGTTTTTGTCTCATTTACATGCTCCCCCGAATCTCCCCCTGCTGCCATGTTTTCCCACGCTCTCTGTGTCCAGAGGGGAGGCGGCTAGTGATGCGTTCAAGTGTGTCGGAAAAGGGAAACTTGCAGGAGCGCAGCTTATAGTTTGCATAATTTGTACTCGATGGTTACGATAAAGCTATTTTAACCATCATACATTGAAAAACGCGGGATACATCGAGTATATTCGATACATCGCCCACCCCTAATTCCACGTCCCTAGAGCCAGCTTCTGTAGCAAAGGATCGGACCGCCACAGCCCCCGCCTTTGACCGCTGCCCATTACACAATGCGCCTGACCCCTTTGGCCCCTCCCACAGGTGGTGACCCCAGGGGAAGGGGAACCCATGTCTCCTCTTCGGGCTGTGCCCAGCCACCAGGTGCTTGCCAACGTACAGTGGTTTGCAAAAGTATTCATACCCCTTGAACTTTTCCATATTTTGTCACATTACAACCACAAACATAAATATATTTCACTGGAATTTAATG